GTTCAATTCCTGGGTCAGGAAGATCCCCTGGAGTAGGAAATGGCAATCTGTTCCAGTAATTTTGCCTGGAAAATCCCATGGACAGAGGAGCCTGGAGGGCTATAGTCCATGGGATCGTAAAGAGTTGGACATGACTTAAAGACTAAGCACACATGCACACAGTCATTCATTCAACTTCATTTCTGATGACGCATTGGTTAGAGTTCTCCTCTTTTGGACTGATCAGGCATTGGATAGGAATCTTTTTTGGGGGGGCTAGGGAACTGTGACCCTGAGAAACTGGTTTGAATTGTTTGCTTGATAGTTGATAACACTGCTGCTGCTGCTGCTGCTAAGTCGCTTCAGTTGTGTCCGACTCTGTACGACCCCATAGACAGCAGCCCACCAGGCTCCCCCGTTCCTGGGATTTTCCAGGCAAGAGTACTGGAGTGGGTTGCCATTGCCTTCTCCTGGCCATGGATAATTAAGTATGGATGATCAGAGCTCTGGGGTTCTATAGTTCTCTGGGGTATTTTTGTAAAATAAGGAGATCTTTAACTATGCTCCCTAAATGAAAGAGAATGCCTCAGTACTCTCTAAGATCTGGAGAACAAAGGCCCCTTATGGCTCGGTTATTATATCAAAGTGGGTCTTTTGGTATTGCTGTCGGTGCTATTGGGTGTGTGTGTTTATATGTGAACGAGTATCTCAGTACTGAGTCCAAATCCACCTTTTTCATCCTGATTTTGCTGAAAATGAGGCATGAGAATGTGAGCAGGTGATATGTGTTACTGTCTATTACTGTTATTTGTTTGTTTAAACTAAAGTGGATATTTGGGAACTGGAAAAAAAGAAAGTTCCCTGAAAATAGCCCAAAATGGCTGGGTTTTGTACACGTAGTTAGAGGAGGAATTTACATTTCTCTTTCTGTGCCTGTGAGATATAAATGACCTATCTGGGGTCTCTGGAACTTATCTAATCATCTGTGTTGCTTGGAACTAAAGGAAAAAGGGATGTGGTAATAACATTTAAAAAACCTCAAAACTTTTTAAGACTTTTATCATTTATAAGCAGCTAAGTTGATGCTTTGCAAAACTGCCACATCTTCAAGAAAAGTCATAAAAAGGATGTTTTAACAAAAAACGAGTTTCTGATAACTTTTAAATCATAGTGCTAAGCTAGATAAGATATTTTAAAAATCTAATGGAAACTGATTTCATAAAACTGTCAGTAAAAAAAGATTAATTATATACAACTGAGTAAACTGATGAATATGGTTATAATTTTTTGGTTTTGCCTGAAACATTACTGGCTTTTAATCTATGTTTTTCCAGATGTAAGGAAATCCTCCCCTCTAGGTATAGTTATGACACAGAAAGTTTAAATTAATAAATAGGTATGGGAACTGGATTCCCAGCTGACACAGTGGTAAAGAATCCGCCTGCCAATGCAGGAGACTCAAGAGACGCATGTTTGATCTCTAAGGCAAGAAAATTCCCTGGAGGAGGCAGTGGCAACTCACTCCAGTATTCATGCCTGGGAAATCCCATAGACAGAGCAACCTGGTGGGCTACAGTCCATAGGGTCGCAAAGAGTTGGACATGACTGAGCACGTACTCACAAGCACATCATGGGAACTGGAAGCAAAAATGTATAAGTTCAATTACAAATTAGGTAGTAGTTAAGTCTAGGAGGTTTCATCCAGTTCAAATAATTGTAGATAAAGAAGGAAAGAAAATTGTGCTATTTACTAAAGATTCTAAGGAATATTCGCTGCCCAAGGCTGGTCAATTCCTTTCTACAATCACCTTTTATCACCCTGTTCATCAGAAAGTAACCAGAGCTATCCCTTTCCCACAAGACTGTAGAATGGATATTGACAGTGGGGAATTGTAATAGGCAATAACAAATCTAACTCCATATTGGATCTGTTTCTTTTACTTTATCCTTTGTATTCTATTGCTTTTGCTACCAGTTGATCACTTAAGGAACATTGCCTATCTTTTAAAGTATACATGATGAGCCATCTCAGAGAACTCTCCCCCATGCTTAAATGTTAAACAAAAGTATCTCTGTTCAGTTCACAAGGAACATTCTGACTTAACCCACCTGTGAATGGCTGTTTTACAAAATTGTTTCTTGCATTAACAAATGTGTGACTGAGCCTCTGATAAAATGATGACATATAGTCCCATATGAGATAAATTATTGTAATAGTGTAACTCTAGATATGGGAATAAGCAGCAAGAGGGAATACTTACTTTTCCGGACCATAAGAAACTAGTAAGACAAGGGGTCCAGAGATTTTTGGCACTGTTAGTAAATCCTAGTCCTATCAACGTAATATTCGCCAGACCTGGGAATGAGCATTCCTAGCACATTGGACGAAATACCCTCAAAGCCATGGTCACACAGCCGGACATGACTGAGTAACTAACACTTTCACTTTCAAACTTTCCAAGTTGTTAGGAGCTTCTCTACTGTATAACAGGCAGGGAAAATTGCTGATTGTTTCCTCTGCTTACCACTTATCCCTGGAATAGAAAGATTCCTAGTCTCTTTAAAAATTTTTTTTTTAATTTTATTATTGGAGTATAGTTGCTTTACAATAGTGTGTTAGTTTCCGCTGTATAAGAAAGTGAATCAGCTATATGTATACATACATCCCCTCCCTCTTGAGCCTCCTTCCCACCCTCCCATCCCACCCCTCTTTTGCTGCTGTTTAGTCACTAAGTCATGTCTGACTCTTTGCGACCCCATGAACTGTAGCCCACCAGTCTCCTCTGTCCATGGGATTCTCCAGGCAAGAATACTGGAGTGGGTTGCTATTTCCTTCTCCAGAGGATCTTCTCAACCCAGGGATCGAACCTGCATTCATCTCCTGTGAATCCTGCATTGCAAGCAGATTCTTTACTCACTGAGCCATCAGGGAGACTCCCCCATCCTTCTAGGTCATCACTATTCCCATCAGTTCAGTTCAGTCACTCAGTCATGTCTGACTTTTGCGACCCCATGGACTGCAGCACGGCAGGCTTCCCTGTCCATCACCAACTACCAGAGCTTGCTCAAACTCATGTCCATCAAGTCCGTGGTGTCATCCAACCAGCTCATCCTCTGTCATCCCCTTCTCCTCCCACCTTTACTCTTTCCCAGCATCAGGGTCTTTTCTAATGAGTCAGTTCTTCACATCAGGTGGCCAAAGTATTGGAGTTTCAGCTTCAGCATCAGTCCTTCCAATGAATATTCAGGACTGATCTCCTTTAGGATGGACTGGTTGGATCTCATTGCAGTCCAAGGGACTGTCAAGAGTCTTATCCAACACCACATTTCAAAGGCATCAATTCTTCGGCCCTCAGCTTTCTTTATAGTCCAACTCTCACATCCACACATGACTACTGGAAAAACCATAGCTTTGACTGGATGGACCTTTGTCAGCCAAGTGATGTCTCTGCTTTTTAATATGTTGTCTAGGTTGGTCATAGCTTTTCTTCTCTTAATTTCATGGCTGCAGGCACCATCCGCAGTGATTTTGGTTACTATCTATTTTCAGTTCTCCATGTAAACAGAACTTTGATATGTGACTTTGATAGTTTGGTAAATGTTATTAGGTTTGCTTTTCAGCTCATTCTTTCATAAAGAGGTTTATAAGTCTTCCTTCCCCTCCTCTCTTCTATGTCTGCAACGGGCTAATATAATTCCTTCATTTTAGCCTTTAGGTCACACCAGTAGCATATAACACTAATAGGTCCACATACACGTGCATGTGCATGTGCACACAGACACAAACACACACAGACATACACACGAACCTGTGCTATATTCAAGACAAAATTAGATGAAACTTACTGATATTTTCTCCTGACTACCTTCCCACTTCCCTCATGGACTTTCTTCTGCCTTACCTGCTCAGATTCACCAGGGCATATTTCTATTGCAAATGGAAGATTCTTGTCAGCCGGTGGAGAACAGAGGAGCTGGACGTAGGATACCCAGGACTTGGCTCATGGCTGGTTCATCCGTGTGCAGCGATCTGTACTGCACCTCATATAACTGACACCATCTTTTGCATGGTATGACCGAGTTTAAATCCTTTGAGTTTTCTGAACAAAAGATGTTACCTTGGTAAACAGCATTATAATAGTACTTTCCTCCCTGGCCCGACCAGGACGCTTCCTCATAGTTTACTTTCTAGGCCTCGCCTTTCTTGCAGAGTAGAGTCCTTTGTTAGGGTTAGAATTTCCCATAAACCTGCTCAATAATTTGTTTTTGTTTAGCCTCTTTGAAATTTGCACAAAGCATTCCCTGTAAAGGGCAACACTGTCCTGAAGGCTGAGAAAGGTGCTTGAGACACAGGCTCAAAGTTGCTCTTTTCAGGCAGAGCCAGCTGAGTAATCTTATCTCAACTGGCTGCTTTTCAAGGTGCCCAATTCACGAGCTTTCCCCTCTGGGAGCAGTGTTTGCCTCAGGGGATCAAGTACTTTCTAGTGAAGGGCAAAACTTTGGGAAGTCCCAGAGCCCGGGACAGTACAGCCTGTTCAGGAGAATCTTGGGGAACAGAATGAACCCCACAGACCATGTCCTTCTTTGCCTCAGGCACTGGGAGAGATCAGCACTTGGCCCCAGGACAGAGACCAGACTGAGAGGTGACAAGGAAGCAGGGAACCCGGGACAGGAGGAGAGACTGCAAAGGCAGCTGCCAGGCTCTGAGTCAAAGGCTGTCAGTCATCTCGGCTCCGACTGCTCCGCTGTCTCACAGCCCAGCCCTTTCCCGGGGCCGGGGCAGGGGATTGCTACATGCCAGCTTACCTGGGGAAAAACCGGAGCCTCACTTTAGTCCCTTCCGGTAATTGACATGACAGGGCAACCAGGCGGGGGAGGAGGGAGCTTCCCTCCATAAATGGTCCCTCCCCTGGGCAAGGTGGCTCACTCTGGCAGCTAGTGACCGGGGAGTGTGTATCCGTCACCAGTCAAGCTCGGCCAGACTGAGAGACAGGAGGAGCAGCCCAGGGAGCCAGTGAACCATGGACAAGTTGAAGTGTCTGAGCTTCTTCAAGTGCAGAAGGAAGGAGGTAGGAGTCTCTGAGCTGCGGACCTGTGGAGTGCTTGGGAAGGGAAAAGTTAAAGAGGCAAATCTCAGTTTTTGCTCTCTTCAGCTATTCTGTTTACCACATTTCTGTTCAAATGCTTTCAAGTGTGGCTGAGATATCCCCATATAGGAGAGGAAACAGGACGGCTCTTACTCTGGTAGCTAGAAGACTTACGGTCGCCTCATCATCTGCCTTGGGTGTGCCCACCACCTTCTGTGTTCTGTCCCTATCTGGACTGTGTCCATAGGTTGAAGGGAAATAAGAAAATGACCTGACCTGAGGGAATGCTTCCCTCTTCTCTGAAGTGGAGAGAGTGCTGTTCCACCTGATGAGACATGAGAATTTGTCTGAATATTATTTTGTGGCTTTCAGAAAAGCACTGATTTTACTCTCCAAGATATGGAGAGGAACTCAAACTTCCCTGACAGTTCCAAACATCAAAACTATCAGCCAGAGGAACTGGGTGGAGAGGGAGGTGGGAGGGGGGATCGGGATGGGGAATACATGTAAATCCATGGCTGATTCATGTCAATGTATGACAAAAACCACTACAATATTGTATTTAGCCTCCAACTAATAAAAATAAATGAAAAATAAATAAATAAAAATAAGAAAAATAAATAACATAAAATATTTATACATTTCAAAAAAAAAAAGACTATCAGCCAGTATGAAAAAGGGTCTATGATTTTTTTTTTAAAAGCGGAAACTATATTTGAAACTTTTTTCAAAGAGTTCCTCCAATTTCAAGAGTGTTGATTTTACCTAGTTCATCTTTAAGACTTTTGTACTTGAAATTTTATTTGCCCATCTTCATTTGCCTTTTATACTGGGTGCCACATGTAACCTTTTCACTAAAATTTGGATGATATAACTCAAAGAACTAGTGAAAATATCCACCTACAGAGTTTTTTTTTCATTTTAAAAGCAGCCATGCACAGAGGTGTCACTAGCTTTGGAAAACGTTCTCTTTGGCTATGTTTTTCAGGGTTCGTTTCTCTCTGTCTCTGTCTGCCTGTCTCTGTATGTCTTTCTCTCTCTCACGGTCACTCTATGAATTTTTGAAATTATGCTTCTGTTTAATTTTTAATAGAAAAATAAGCTGTTGATGTTTTTTTTTTTCTAGAATGCTGAGGTTGCACCCGAGAATCTTCATGTTAATGAAAATGATGAAAACCAGGAGCGTGGTAACTGGTCCAAAAAATCAGATTATCTTTTATCTATGGTTGGATATGCAGTGGGACTGGGGAACGTGTGGCGATTCCCCTATTTGACCTACAACAATGGCGGAGGTACTACCCACCCCCCAATTTATTTCCCCTTCAGTTTTAAGGGAGGTGCTCTATGGCCTCTGATGATATTTTAAGACCTAAGGAAAGGTATATGATAATATGGGTTAGTGGGAGGATGGGAAACTAGCATACTGCATTTTATTATTAGACCATGGTTTTCTAGCTCAAGTTAGAAAGCTGGTTTCATAAGATCTTCAGATATAAACTTGATAAAAGTTGCAATATTTAGCACTTCTGACTTCTCATTTGAAATCCCATGCAATCTTCATATGACTTACTCTTCTTAATTTATACATGTTCCTATGATAATGTGTTCAGACTCAAGTTGTGTTTTGCCTAATTTATTGCTGAATCTAAGCAAAAGGCAGGGAATTCTCATTCTAATGAGAAACTCAAATAAATCATTTGCTTAAATAAAATAAGGCATTACATTTTGGAAACTTAAGTGTGGAAAGAACTGATTAAAAATTAATTAAAGGTTTTGTACTTTAAGCTGCAATATAAGTTACATATACTCCAAATTGGATTGACCAGGCAGAAGATCCTTCTAAAATGCAATAGAATTTAATTCAAGGCTAGGTGTTTAATTTCTGTAAAACAATATGGCTTATACCTCATAGATCACTAAAGAAGACTCGATTAGAACAAGGAGAAAAAAATAACTCTGAAGTGACACCCAAAAGGAAACAGAATGAATTGCACAATCCTCTAGTAATGTTGAAACAACTTTTCACTTACACCATATTTATTTACTTGTAATTACAAGTCCTATTAGAAGTGTAGAGGTGACATTCCCTTATATTTCAAAATTGGATACCAGTGAAACTATGCCACTGTAATTATTTTTCTTGGTACAATAGGATTTTGTGTGGTGATATTTCAATCTTACATTCCTTATTAATTGGTTATATTAAAACATTCATGTTGCCCTTCAGAGATTTAAGAAAGGAGCTCTGTTTATCAAACACTTGAAGTGTTGGTGCCATAAATTACCCTATCTAGAGCCAACATTGTTTAATCAAGAGTTTAGTATACATTTGAGCTGGAAGATGAGTCAGGAATCATATGTCCTAAGGTCAGTGTAGTAGAGAAAAGCATTCAGGTTCCTTTTCAGCCCCTTATGTTCAGGTTTAAATTAAGAAATACCCTGGGAGTTGATGTCATAAAGGGCTAGTACTTACTATAGATTTCTAGGAATTATATCAAACTAGGTTTAATATAGAATTTTTAAACTTAGCTGAAACAAAATGGCATTATTTTATTGTATGCTATTACCTCTCTCACTGTTTCCTCTAAAAATTAGTATATCATATTGGCTCTCATTTTTTAAAGATCACATCATTTGAGTAGTGGATGATCTAGTCTCTCTCAATTGCTTCTTTCTCTTTTTTGCCCAAGGGTAGAACAGGAACATGAAATTCAAATTTGTCAAATGTTAATAGATTATATTTAAACTTATGGTCAGGCTTAAAAGACTGTTGCTAAAATCTGGAATCATTTTTATCTTTAGGTGCTTTTTAACACTATAAGAAAGAGAAATATCAGACTACCTTAGGGTCTAGGTCGGTAGTGTTAACAATTTGGCCATTGATAATCAATGATAACTTGACCAATTGATAATCTACCAGTTATGGTTTTTATTAATAATAATAATATAATGGGTGAAAAGCCATCTGTAAGAGTGAGGAAAATTGTTTTTTGTATGTGTCTAAAAACCTGTTTACACTGGGCTAGCAAAACACTGCATATTGTTTTTCAAACAGATATTGTGTATTACTTTTTCTTCATATTTACCATTGGTAGGAATTAAACTTCTATTAGTCATAGTAATGATGGTATGTACATTGCAACATCTGTAAAAACATATTTGTCCCTATGTTCTGGTGACTAGTGACTTGGATGTAACAAGTACTTTATTGTCTTCTTATTTTTAGTAAAATATATTTTTAGGGTTAGAAAAAAAATGTAATCTCCAGGTATGACGTTACAGTATCATAATGGGAAAACTATATGAAGAAAAAATGTACATAATCCAACCCAAAGTCTATTTTATTCACTTATCTCCACATTTTCTTATTAAACAGTGTTCATTTAAGACTTCTAGAATACTTAAACAATAAATTTAATATTCTTATACCAAAAATCTGGTCTAAGTTTTAATGAATTGTATGCCCTAAAAGTAGACAGAATAGATGTAAAATAATAAAAGGTTTAACAAAAAAACAAAAATGGGACTGAATAATCTAAATGTAGGAGAATTGGTCGTTATGAAATTGAATGTTAATTCTGAATGCATCTCAAGGGTTCAAGATTCTTCTAACAAAAATAATGTTTCCTATTAACACATGACTATGTGGAGAATAATGAACTTAACTGCAATAGCTTCTACTTTGAACCACATTTAACATTTAAACCCTAAGTCTTAAAAGCAGATTGTTTTTTTTTTTTAAGGAGAGAGGAGGAAAACTAGCTTTGAACATATACTATCTGCCTGCCCATTTTGTGAAGTGTTTTCACATAGGCTCTGTGATTAAACTGTTACCACAAACTGATGAGTTGGCATCACTCTTCCCATTTATGAGGAACCCAAGATTGAGAGGTTAGATAAACTGCCCCAGGTCACATAACTAGTACATGATGAAGCCAGGATATAAACCTAGGTCTATCTGTCTCCAAAGCCTATGATCATTCAATTTCTTTGAATTGCTTTTTATAGGTTATTGTTTTTAATAATCACAACAACCTCATTAGGTAATACCAGCATCCCCATTTCACGGATGAGGAATTCAAGGTTTAGAGAATCAACTACTTTCTCACAGATTTGAAGCCCAGACTAAGTTCTCTCTGACTCTACTATATCAGAGTGCTTTCAAAATGTTGTGTTGGCTGTCAAAGTGCCATCAAGATTTGAGCATATAATAGTACTTTGGTTCTTTTTTTTTTTTTTTTGCCTTTTCTAGGTGCCTTCTTGATACCATATGTGATTATGTTAGCCCTGGCTGGTTTACCTTTGTTCTTCTTAGAGTGCTCCATGGGACAATTTTCTAGCTTAGGTCCAGTTTCAGTTTGGAGGATTCTTCCATTGTTTCAAGGTTGGTATTAAAATGTTTTCCTTATTGTGGTTTTTGGTTTGTTCCTGCATATAGCTGTCCTCACTGTGTGGATGAAAGCATTTAGCATTTGGACATGATGGCCCAGGTGGTAAAGAATCTGCCGGCAATGCAGGAAATGCAGGTTTGATCCCTGGGTCAGGAAAATCCCCTGGAGGAGGAAATGACACCCACTCCAGTATTCTTGCCTGGGAAATCCATGGACCAAGGAGCCTCCTGGGCTATACAGTCCATGGGGCAGCAAAGAATTGGACATAGTTGAGCAACTAACTTTCAAAGGCAGAGACATACATTGTTTTTCTATTTGTCACCATCAAATTTAGAAATCAAATGTTAATATGTATTTCTTTTTATCTTGGGCTGCAGATATGGTCGGGGTTAAGAAGGATATGAGGAAGTTGTTATTACTTTCCTATTTTCACCTTTTGAATTCTCTTGGCAAACTGTCTTGTGTGTTAACTTTATGGCTCTGGCTTTTCTTCTACTTTGTATGTGGATCTGTCTTCCTGCTTTTGCATATCTTTTACAATGCCTCATTCAGAAAAGTTGAAGGGCAGGTCACTATTTTTCTCTTGGATGATCCTAATGGAATAGGACACTGGGAACGTTTTTTTCTTTGAAAATGCTTTGATTGTTATTAAACATCAAACAACCTTTCTGTTTGAAGATTATATATCATTTTTGGTACATGCTAGCTGCTGAAAGCTACTTGTAAAAGTCAGTGTAACATCAAAAATACATTTATAGTGAGGTGAAGAGACTATCATGCTGGAATATTAAGGAAGCTACCTCAAAAGTTAGTTTTAATATAGGAGTTATATTCAGTATGCTAAGCTGCATTTTGAAATTAGAGAGTTAAAGAAATTTCAGAAGTTTAAATTCAGATACTTACCAATTTACTGAATTTTCTTTAAATATACTTGTAGAAATGCTATACATTTTCCCCTTAGGACATTCATTCAGAAGCTTTATCTTCTATTTGTCAAAATGTTGGTTTATAGATGAATATGGGAGTATTGGTCAGTGAATAGGATATGAGCTTGAATAGTTTTTTTCTTTAATAGTACCCACTCTGACAAGAATTCACAGACTTAATAAGAATGAGTAATGAACATGGTTTTTCTTTCTGTGAATTCAGTGGCTTAATATAGATCTTTAATCTTAGCACCTTTTCCTGATCAACTCAAAATGTCTCAAAAAATCAATCATCAAAATAATTTTGAGAAGCTATTCAGACAGCAGTACTATCTTCCACCCCTCCAATAAACAGAAAACATTGAAACAGTTTTCTCAGTTTAAAATAGATTTTGTGGAAATTGAGAATGCAGCTGTATGAATTAGCAAAAGAAATTTCACTTATTTTTTTAATTGTTCTCTTTTCCAGGTGTGGGGATTACAATGGTCCTGATATCCCTTTTTGTGACAATCTATTATAATGTCATAATTGCCTATAGTCTTTACTACCTGTTTGCTTCTTTTCAACGTGAACTACCATGGTCAAAATGTTCCGTCAGTTGGGCTGATGGAAACTGTAGCAGATCACCTTTTGGTAAAATTCATTTATTTATTGTTAACTCTGAATCATTCATTCTTTTATATTTTCTAACAAGATTAAAGGCCTAAATCATTTCCTAACAAATTTAGGTTCAACTTTAAGTGAGCCACAGGTTACTGATGAAATCAGAATAAATCATGTATAACCTGAAAGTTGATTAATGCAATATGTTATTTTCTGAGGGCAGCCAGTAAAGCTAAACCACTACTTGGAGTACTTCTTGCAGACCTAGGTTGCGGGTGGCACAAGGAAAAAAATGGGAAAGTGGTGAGAGAAAATCACTGTTTATGATACATAGTAGTGTTCAGGAGATGGTGAGTATTGCTAGTCTTTGGAATAATGTAGCATTGATATTGTAGACTATTACCACTGGGATTGGCTGTGTATATTGGAGAATAAATTAATACAGATTTAACACTTCTTAGGAATTTAAAGGTGTCATTTATCTATATAGGTTAAACAAATTCACATATGAAAATTTCCCTAGAGTACTGAATCCCAATCGAAATGACTATTACTCTACAGCTGTTGTTACTGTAAATATAATATACTGTAAATATAAAAATATACTGTAAATATAAAAATACATACTGTTTAAAAGGGCAGATATTTTCATACTCACCCTCAGCTTAGTAGTAGAGAAAATTTAAGTTGCTGAGTGTGCATGGCTTATTCCATTTGTGAGATTTCTACTCCACATTCAATAAATAACAATTTAGACAGTACCTTAAGCATTTCACCATTTAAACTGTATTTCCAGGAAAGCACTCTTCTAAAACTAAGTACAAGTCTGTGTGTATTCTTTTTTTCTAATTTTTAGTGACACATTGTAATGTGAGTATAAGCATAAATGAAATCTTCCAAGCGAATAAAAGCTGGGTAGACGCCAACAATCTTACCTGCATCAATGGAAGTGAAGTTTATCAGACAGGGCAGCTTCCCAGTGAACAGTATTGGAAGTGAGTACAGTACATTATCTACATCCTAAGCAGATGTTAGTAAAATTTTTTTATAAATAACAATAAAATATTGATCAGCTCTTTTCTTAACTCATATAAGAGCAAATTATACTTCATTTGACTCAAATGTTTATCCTGTGTGAATAGTAGTAGCCTGCAAAATTAGCCCATAGCTAATAGATTGTCATTCATAAGTTAGTTATTAAATGGGCACAAGGTCATCAGTGATGATTTATATAGTGCTTATTATCTATAAGTTAGGGCATTGCTTTGAAGAAAAATATGCAATTTTTAGACTACAATGAGCAAGTTCTAATGATAAACAGTTGGGTGATGAATAATACTAGGGGCAGAATTGCTATTTAAGGCTGAAATTCTTCATTATTCATTTTGTTTATAGTTGTGGTTATATGACAAAATAGATGTTTGGGGTTATATTTGCTTTTATTAATTTTAAATGATGTCTTTAATCTCCTTACTGTATACCTGCTCTTTATTCTTATATAACTTCTTTGACTATTGCTGTAATGAAGTCTTCCTCATCTCCATGTTAGTGCTCTGTGTGACCCTTTTAAAATTTGGCCCCTGAAATGTTCTAAACATCAAGCTAAGAAGTAAAATCCTATATCTATATATGTCCCTAGTAGAAATCATGGAATTTTACAGAAAGCCTTTGAAAAAGGTATAAAAATGGGACCATTTAGCTTTGATAATAACAGCAAGTATGATGAATTAGAGCTTCCCTGGCTCAGGTGGTAAAAAATCTGCCTGCAATGCAGGAGACTTGGGTTCGATCCCTGGGTCTATATTCAATCCCTGTGTCAGGAAGATACTCTGGAGAAAGGAATGGCAACCCACTCCAGTATTCTTGCCTGGAAAATCGCATGGAGAGAGGAGCCTGGTGGGCTACAGTCCATGGGGTTGCAAAGAGTCAGACACGACTGAGTGACTAACACTATGATGAATACGAAAATATTTAATACAATTTAAAATGTCTTCTCTGTCATTTTAACTTGAGGGAAAAAATATCATAATGAGTAAAATAATCTGATGTAAGTTTAATTTTTTCCATAGAGGAGTTTTGAAATATTAGGGGAAAATCGGAGCTAAAGGAATGACTAGATCTTGTATTCCATGATTTGAAATTGTGGATTGGCTGCAGTTGACCAGAAGGTTCTGAGTCTGACTTTTCAATGAATTATTTTTGCCCCTCCATACAACTGTATCAGTAAAAACCTCATATGACATTGATGTCATATTAACATTAATAAATACTAATTAATATTAGTATTAATATGTTGTATTAATATTAATAAATATGAATTAGTATGAGTATTAGTAAAATACTCATGAAGCTTCCCCTGTATGAAAGATATTATAAAATTCAATGTATTAAGATGAATGATTGTGTGTTAATCAAAGGACATATGTGTTTTCAGTAAAGTAGCACTCCAACGGTCAAGTGGACTGGATGAGACTGGAGTCATTGTTTGGTATTTAGCACTTTGTCTTCTTCTGGCTTGGCTCATAGTTGGAGCAGCACTATGTAAAGGAATAAAGTCTTCTGGAAAGGTAATTTAGAAAACACCTTAGACAGTGATGTTACTGTTTTCCAATTTCATTATAGTTCATTGCCAAGTAGTATCAAATGCATGTTTTTTTCTATCATGAGATGTTTTGAATGTGTGAAAAGTTTTCTAAGTAGGCAGCCTCACTCTAAGAAAATACATAAGAACACTGCTATTATTAAAAATAAAACTAGCAAAAATTAGTACTAGATGTGTAATTTCTCTAAACTTGGACCCTTCTAGCTGATACAGCATTCTGAGGCTTGGGAGTATATTTTTAAAATTTCCATCCTATTATAATAAAGAAGCATCTTGAGTGACATTATATGTTACAATTTTTGGTTTGGAAAGTCTAGATCCCTGTTATATATGTTATATAGGGTAATAGTGTCAGTATTCCCATTATTCCATTGTTGGAGAGAGAAGGAAAAAAATAAAGCTATACAAGTATTCTCTTAAAGCTTGCCAAAATTGACTCAGAACCCTCTTTCAGCAGAAAGCCTCTTCTGAAAAACATTTCCCATGTCACTGTTTTATTTTTAAACTTTCAGAGAGCACTGTGGCAATATCAGAGGACAACATGAAATTTTCTCTGTGACTAGCTGTACAATACCCAGAAAAATAAACATGTGTGTGTTTGTAACTACCAGACTAAAATTTCCATAAGGACAGAGAACAAGAATAACTGTGGATACTATCTTTGTGTTCCTGATACAATATCTAGCACAGTTACTGCTACATTGTAATAAGACATACTGATAGATCACAAAAATACTGGGAACATCACAAAGTCAGTGGAAATTTTCCAAAACAATGTTGCGATTGTACATTTTTGAAACCCTTGGTTCCTTTTTGATGTTAATATTGAAAAATCCATGAAAATCCATTTACCCTGGCAATTAATTTTTACTGGTCTCAGGATGGTTTGTTTAAATCATCTCCTTGGGCATATTACCAAACATAAGACATATATAGAGCAAAGAAACTATCCACATTAATGAAAAGCTAGCCTCAAAGGCAGTCTGCTCATCTGGAACCATGTGTTATCTAGGATACAAGCAGTTCACATGTATATATGTGTGCTCTCAAACACTCTTAATGGTAGCTTTAAGGATAATAATGTCAAGTGTCCAGTACTCACTTTAAAAACTTTCACAGGAGTTGGGCAACTACTAGATTTTCTTTCTTCTCTGGGATTGAGCATAGACTAACTACTTCAGTTAAAAGTTTACTTTTAAAACTACTTTAAAATCATTTTCTTTCCCACCTTAATGCACTAATTTACCAAGAGGTGATTTTCACTCCTATCAGACATTTGTTGTTTAGTCACCAAGTTGCGTCTGACTTTTTGCAACCCCATGGACTTCAGCACCCCAGGTTTCCCTGTTTTTCACTATTTCCCAGAGTTTGTTCACACTCATGTCCATTGAGTCAGTGATGCCATCCACCATCTTATCCTTTGTCGCCTGCTTCACCTCCTCCCTCAATCTTTCCCAGCATCAGGGTCTTTTCCAATGAGTTGGCTTTTTGCATCAGGTGACCAAAGTATTGGAGCTTCAGTTTCAGTATCAGTCCTTCCAATGAATATTCAGGGTTGATTTCCTTTAGGATTGACTGGTTTGATCTCCTTGCTGTCCAAGGGACTCTCAAGAGTCTTCTTTAGCACCACAATTCAAAATCATCAATTCTTCATGCTCAGCTTTCTTTATGGTTGAACTCTCACATCCATACATGACTACTGAAAAAACCATAGCTTTATCTATACAGACCTTTGTCGGCAAAGTGACATCTCTGCTTTTGAATATGCTGTCTAGGTTTGTCACAGCTTTTCTTCCTACGAGCAAACATCTTTTAATTTCATGGCTGCAGGCACCATCCACAGTGATTTTGGAGCCCAAGATGATAAAATCTGCCACTGTTTTCACTTTTATTCCATCTATTTGCCATGAAGTGATGGGACCGGATGCCATGATCTTCATTTTTTGAATGTTGAGTTTTAAGCCAGCTTTTTCACACTTCTCTTTCACGTTCATCAAGAGGCTCTTCAGTTCCTCTTCCCTTTCTGCCATTAGAGTGGTATCATCTGCATATCTGAGGTTGTTGATATTTCTTCAGGCAATCTTGATTCCAGCTTGTACTTCATCCAGTCTTGCATTTTGCATGATGTACTCTGAACAGAAGTTAAATAAGCAGAGCGACAATATACAGCCTTGATGTACTCCTTTCCCAACTTTGAACCAGTCTGTTGTTCCATGTCTGGTTCTATTGCTTCTTGACCTGCATACAGGTTTATCAGGAGGCAGGTAATGTGGTCTAGTATTCCATCTCTTTAAGAGTTTTCCACAATTTATTGTGATCCACACAGTCAAAGGCTTTAGTGTAGCCAGTGAAGCAGATATTTTTTTCTTGAAGTCCCTTGCTTTTACTATTATGTACTAGATGTTGACAATTTTTTTCTGGTTCCTCTGCCTTTTCTAAATCCAGCTTGTACATCTGGAAGTTCTTGGATCATGTACTGTTGAAGGATAGCTTGAAGGATTTTTAACTTTACCTTGCTAGTATGTGAAATGAACACAATTGTATAGTAGTTTGAACTTCTAGATGTACAAGCTGGATTTGGAAAAGGCAGAAGAACCAGAGATGAAATTACCAACATTTACCAGGATACATTTAGGAAAGCACTCCATCTGGATTTCAAATAACCACTGCTGATATAGTGTTTATTTACAACATAAACCTGGGAAACATTGCCACATACATCAGAGTGTTTTGAAAGTGGATCATTTGAAGAGTGGTAAAAACAGAAAGAGGAAATTATGCCAACTTTGGTATTAGTATTATCAGACATTAATAAGCTAAACATTTCAACTGGCTAGTAACTTTGTTTGTATACAATTATATACCATGAGTTTTAAAAATAATAACTTTTGGTTGTTCTTGGTAGGTGGTGTATTTTACAGCTCTTTTCCCCTATGTTGTCCTACTCATCCTGGTGATTCGAGGGGCAACTCTGGAAGGTGCAGCAAAAGGCATTTCATACTATATTGGAGCACAGTCAAATTTTGCAAAACTTAAGGATGCCGAGGTAAGACAATTCGGATCTCACATTATCTAAGGAGGTAAACCTTAAAAGTCAATACTGAAAATCTTTGATTACCTAGTGTTGCAATGTAATAGCTTATAAAAGAATATGGAGTTAAAGTTATTAATGTTTCTGTCCACTAGGATGCCTGATTTTAAGTGTTTAACATGACACTAATGCTGTCTTATTGGAAGTGAGACAGTCATTTTTAGCAACAGGATTTTCAAAGTCATTTTATTCAAACTGACCCTATTTGACCAAAAGGATGTGGGGCTTATTAATTTGAAAAAGCATATTTCATGCATGAAATACCCACAAATTGATGACCAGGGCTTCCCAGGTGGCGCTAGTGGTAAAGAACCTGCCCGCTAATACAGGAAACATAAGAGACGTGAGTTCAATCCCTGGGTTGGGAAGATCCCCTGGAGGAGGGCACGGCAACCCACTCCAGTATTCTTGCCTGAAGAATCCCATGGACAGAAGAGCCTGGTGGGCTACAGTCCATGAGGTTGCAAAGAGTCAGACACGACTGAAGTGACTTAGCATGCATGTGACTTATCAGATAAACGCATAGTAGATTTAAAGATTACAGTTCATGGTTTAATGGTCTAATATAAGCTTTGTCTTCAAAAGTTAATATTCTGAAGTTAAAACATAAAGTTTAAATGAAGAATTCCATAAACAAAACTGTTACTTGTATACAAGACACATAAATATGTGCCATGAATATGAATTGGTAACCCCTTTTAATATTAGTCTGTCTTCAGATAATGGCTATGTGTATCATATGTACATAAAATCTTTTACAATTTTAACTGCAGAGGGAATTGCCAGTAAGTGTACTCTATCGACTTTCCTTCTATTGATACAGCCTAATAATACTTTCACTTTTTTAGTAGTCATGTCACATTCTTAGAACACATTAAGCTTCTGGTCAGGCAAAATCCCACAATATTATATTAAAATCAAGAAACACTATAATATCATATTAGCATTATTAGTCAAAATGGATATTAGTTTTAGCTTGCTATGGTACTATGTGGAACTCATGCTACCTTTCAGCAGTTGCTATGTTCTAAATACTCACAATATGGATATTTAATTATTTTTTGTAGAATGTTTCTGATAACCAAGTCAAATTTATCAATTTTTTAGTCATGGAAATCCATCCTTTACCTTTTTGAAAATTGAGAGGTCAGTCTCCAGCCTTTGGTTACCTTCTGTGTGTCCAAATCATTTTCACTCAGTAGTAATCACAAAAAAATCACTCTAAATCGTTGATCTAAATTGAGCACTCTAAATCATTTTAGAACTATGAACTTTTATTGTTTATATGTTGGAGATTAACATGCTTTGGTGTATCCAAAGGCCACTGCTTGTTTCTTCATTTTTCTTGGGCCTCACGTTTTTTAACCTTGTTTGTTAATCTCTTCCCAAGTAGATGACCATTTCTGATGATGGATAAGAAACAAATAAAATGGAAGTTGGGATTCATCATCTTCTCCCTGTTAGGTTATTAAACAAGATAAAATATGTTAATATACTTTGAAATGGTAAACTGTTATATAAATGAGCATACAAGTATTTTAATTATTGCTGTTATATAATACTAAATAATTGTAGAATGCAGCATTTTTCCTAAGAAATGGACCCTTCATTTTCTTTAAACCTCATAACTCTGAGCACAGTGGAAAAGCTCCTTTGATATTCCTCTAAGTGGCTTTTAAAGCCTCAGAAACCTAGACTTTATAGCTCCATGTGACTATTCTGAAATTTTTATGTGACTAGTTTATACTGGTCTGTGTCTTGGTGTCTCTATTATCTTTAGAACATCAGAGCTAAGCCTAAAGTTCTGTATAAAACATACAATTTAATTCTCCTACCTCCCCACCCCAACACAAACACTACCCTCACCCCTTCTTTGGGTTTGCTGGCAATGAACATTTTTTCTTAGATGTTTTTTATTCCTCTCCAATCTATATTCTAAGCATGCAATCACAAGTATGTATTTTTCCTTTTCTTTAAATATTTGAACTCGATTGATATCTCTAGGAGAGTAGAGAACCATACAAATTGATAGCTAGAGGGGTCTCCAGTGATTGTTTTACTAACTTCCTCATTCTACAGTGATAAAAGTTGAGACCCAGGAAGATTCACATTTAGTTAAATTTACATCACCTGTTTGTGCATCTTGAATTAAGATTTCCTAGTCCCTAAACTTGGAGAAGGAAATGGCAACCCACTCCAGTATTCTTGCCTGGAGAATCCCAGGGACAGAGAAGCCTGGTGGGCTGCTGTCTATGGGGTTGCACAGAGTCGGACACGACTGAAGTGACTTAGCAGCAGCAGCAATCCCTAAACTAATAGTCTTCTATAGAGCCATGAGATGGGTAGGTATAGAGATGATAAGTATGTTTGGAACTAGGCAGCCTAGTTACATCATTCATGGTATGCATAGCATTCTTACACAACTGAGACCTGCCACACCACCTCTAGAACCCTTCACCCCACTCACATATGCATGTATATGTATCAAGTCAAAGCAGCTGAGAGACTAACATAAGCATGTTCATCTCTTAATATTGGGTTGGCCAAAAAGTTCATTTGGGTTGGCCAACCTGATATGTACAACTGCCTAAGAAATGAGTGCATCTTATTTTTCACATGATTTTCTTATCTTGTTGTTGTTTAGTCACTAAGTCATGCCTGACTCTGTGTGACCCCATAGACTGTAGACTTCCAGGCTCTTCTGGGAAATCATGGGATTTCCCAGGCAAGAATACTGGAGTGGGTTGCCATTTCCTTCTCCAGGGGATCTTCCTGACCCAGGGATTGAACCTGAGACTCTTGCATATCCTGCACTGGCAGGCAGATTCTTTACTGCTGAGTCACCACTTAAATATAACCAATTGTTAAATGTATAAATGAAATAACCATGATCTAGCTGTCTATCTATGCATCTATCTATCTACCCATCTATTTATCCATCCATTTTACTTTCTACTGGCTTCCTGCCATTATAAAAGCAATTATAGTATAATAATCATCTAATATCAAGCTGAAGACCTAGTAAATATTTATACTCCTAACAACTTTATTTCTATTGATATTGGAAATAGATTACATAACTTTCAAGGAGAAAATTATTGTTTTTAACTTCCACAAATGAAACCGAGTATCAGTTTATATTTCTTTTCCATAAAAACATAATAGCTATCACTGAATATCCTATTAATTACTTTGTATATGTTATCTCATTTAATTCTCACATCATTCTTAGGACACATAGTTATTATTACTATTATTATTATCATCATCTCCATTTTACAGATGATGAAACAGCCTTGAAGATGATAAATGAGTCAAATTTAATGAAAGTGAGAGGTATTGGATTTAGACTTCATTCTTTTCGATTCCAGAGCTAGAACTGTTAAGTTACCATGTTAACATGGCCTGCCTTCCACTGACCAATCATATTTTCAGATGGACTAAAAATACACTTTTGCCTACATATATGCCAGTCCTATTATTTGAAGTCTCCATAATTAGATTTTTCTTCAGAGTAATGTTATATCTATAGAATTTCACTATTAAGATGGATTTACCTAGGTTAGTTTCTAAGACTAATTATTGCCCTTTAGCAAAGACACAGGAGGGGTAAATCGTGAAAGGGGGAAAGATAAAGGGGTTGAATTAGATGAAGATTGTGAGCACCGCTTAAAGAGATAAGGCCAGCTACATGGGGCTCTAATCAAAACATGGAATGAGAGAACTGAATGATTGAAGGGATATCTAAATGTATCATCATTCTTTAAAAACTCCCTAGTATTATCCTTAAGAATATGTTTTTATTGTCCCCAAGTTGATATGTGGAATAAACAGAATTCCAATCAAATTCCCAGCACAGTTTCCATAGAACCTGAAAATTTATTCTAAAATTTATGCAACAAAGCAAGGCATTTCTTAAGAAATGAGGAAGACTTGTCCTACCAGGTGTAAAATGGTATTATAATGCTAATGCTAAAATAATGTTTTTGCATAGGTATAGACATACAGACCCATGGAACAGAACAGTAATCTCAAAAAAAGATTTGTGAACATATGGAACTTGATATGTGGCAGAGGTGGGGATACAGATCAATGGAAAAGGGATGGACTATCCAATTGATACAATTGATATCCAAATAATACAACAGATAATATCAATTATCTTCAATTGATATTTCATTTAGAAAACAATGTATTTGGATTTCTAATTTAACATGCATTAAATTCAATTTCAGGTGAATTAAACTTAAGGATAATAAGCAAAACTAAGTCTTTTAGAAGAAAATATAGGATAGTAGCTTTATGACCTTGGGCTAAGGATTCTTTTTTTCAGTCAGAGAGATCAAGGACAATTCATAAAAATCAAAGATAGATACCTTCAGCTACATTAAAACAAAATCTTTGGTTCATCAAAGGACACAATATTAAGAGGGGGGAAAAAGCCACAAATTGGGAGAAAAAATTAAGATGTATAACAGATAAAGGATTAGAATCTGACTACATAAAGAATTCCTAGAGAGCAAATAAGACAAATAACCCAAACAAAACATTGGCAAAATATGTGAACAGGAATTTCACAGAAAAAAAACTATAGAATATAAACAAATAAAAACATGTTAAGCCTTATAAATTATTTAAGGTTATCAACACTCTCATTTCACAGCCATTAGTTTGGACAGCATTCAAAATTCTGATTGATGTTGGCAAGGATGTGGGGGAGTGAGAACTCTCATACCATCTGGTGGGAGTGCAAACTGATACAACCACTTCGGAGAATAATTTGGCAATATTTAGTTGAATTGAAATTTCATATGGTTCAAATTGATAATGGATAAATCTCATATACTACTGAATGGAAAAAGCAGGTTGTATTAGTTTGCATGCATTAAGATAACTTTTCTATAAACTCAAAAACATGCAAGGCTAAATGTCATATTGTTTAGGATAGTAAAAATATGAAGAAAACCAGAAAAATGATAAACACAGAAGTCAGGATAGCAGTTACCACTGAAGTTGGAAGTGTGATATGATCAGGAAGAAGCACAGGGAGGCTTTAATAGCCTAGCAACAGTTTATTTCTTAAGCTCAGTAGTGGGTATTTAGGTGTTTGTTTTGTTTTTATAAGTTATTCACCTGTATATATGAAATATTTTATACAAATGAAAAATTAAGAGTGTGTTTTTAAATATTATTTTCTTTTATAGGTTTGGAAAGATGCTGCCACACAGATATTTTATTCTCTGTCAGTTGCCTGGGGTGGTCTGGTTGCCTTATCATCTTACAATAAGTTCAAGAACAACTGCTACTCAGATGCCATTGTAGTTTGTGTGACAAACTGCCTTACTAGTGTGTTCGCTGGATTTGCTATTTTTTCTATATTGGGACACATGGCTCATATATCTGGAAAGGAAGTCACACAAGTTGTAAAATCAGGTATGTAATGCTATATATAGCTTCTATATAGCTCATTTAAGAAACACTGATATACTTTATAGCAATTAAAGCACTCAAGATTTAGGGTATTGAGTTTTCTTTCTCATTTCATCTTAAATAACTTGGTTGTTTCAATCATATAATAATTCTTAGATGATCTGAGAAACAAGACTACATTACAGAACAATTGTTTAAAGCTTTTTCCAAATTTTGTTTAGTGCTTAATATGAACTACTTTACTGTTAATGTGAACTACTTACTGCACAATTGCAAGTATTAGGCATCACGCTATGCACTTTACATTCATTATCTTCATTTGCATGTATGTATATAAAGACACATACATATATATACATGTGTGTATTTATATATATATGAATATGTGAAACTATATATGAAAATTAATCCATGTACAATTACACTATTAGATCTGAATTTTTTTAATTTTTAAAATGCACAAATGTCATATATATTGAAACCCAACTGACTTTGAGTATACAGCTGTGTTCAGCTTTAAAGGAATCTGATTAATGAACATCTTAACTTTAAAGACATTAACTAGAGATGCTTTAATTATCTGGTTTGGTGGCTCAGACGGTAAAGAATCCGCCTGCAATGCAAGAGACCCAGGTTCGATCCCTGGGTGGGGAAGATCCTCTCGAGAAGGGACTGGCTACCCAGTATTCTTGCCCAGAGAATTCTATGGATAGAGGAGGCTGGCAAGCTACAGTCCATGGGGTCGCAAAGACACAACTAACACTTTCACTTTTGAAGACTCTTAGGAACAGAAGTTTAGGGTTCTTTTAAGTCGGTTTTTCTTACTAAATTTCTATTTGTTGTTAGTATCATTTGGTGGAGAGATTGATGAATGAGAATAGAATGTTGGGACTAGAAAGGACTTTGAAGATCATGTAGTGTCCAGCTCCTCATTTACAGAGGATGGGACTGAGCATAGAAATGTTATGTCTTGCAGAAGATCAAATAATTAGAAAGTGATAGAGCCTAGGCTAGAAGCGAATTCTCCTGAAGCCTAGGTCAGTCCCCTGGGAGGCTGGAGACACTTAAAATACTTAAACTAAGTATCATATAATATGATTTAAAAAATGTTAACAAGTGTCTTTAAAGGCAACATACATCAAATAGAAAATAAGATTCAATTTATAGTTTTATTACATACAATCTTGCAGGTGTCCATATAATAATTTAAATGGCACTAAAATTATACCTGTTATCTTGTATTAACCTATAATGGAGTATAATGTGCAAAAATACAGAATCACTATGTTGTATACCAAAACTAAGACAATATTGTAAATCAATTATACTTCAATAAAAAAATAAGTTGGCACTACACAGCTGTGAAATGTACAGTGAAAAAAATAAATGACACTACATATTGTGATATTGGGTAAACATTGGAAAGAGTTGACTGGAGTTTAAGACAGTTGCTCTTCATTAATTAAAAAAAATAAAAATCAGCTAAACATCAGTGATACAGTTAATATTTCTTATGTGAGAAATGTACCATTTACAAAATTTATCTCACTAGCTTAATTTACAACGCGTTTACATTATATTATAGAACAACCTACATAAACACTTTTAAAAAGTGCTAGTGAAACAGTTGCTAAAGAATGTATATTATCCATTGAGTTGCCAAATTGAGATTTTTCTAGTATCTTACATTGAAAAATGTTAAAATATGTGAATTTCTTTAATTTTCTTTAACTTAAATTAAAATTCCATTACTTTTTTCCTAGGTTTTGATTTGGCATTCATTGCCTATCCAGAAGCTTTAGCTCAACTCCCAGGTGGGCCATTTTGGTCCGTATTATTTTTTTTCATGCTTTTGACTTTGGGTCTTGACTCTCAGTTCGCTTCCATTGGTAAGTAATACTCCCAATGTTAACATATTCCTCTCATATTTTACTCTACTTCAAAACATTATTTTCTTACCCTTGTTGCCCCCATCTAGTTTTTACTCTCAGAATGATCTTTCTGAAAATTCTTTTTAACTTAAATTTTAAATATGGAAAAATACAACATATTCATGTATCAGATACTCAAAAGGAACAGACATTAATATTTTATGTTTGCTTCAGACATTTTTTTTAGAAAAATTAACTGTTACAGATAAATTTGAAGTCCTTTATGTTTCTCTGCCTAATACAATTCACATTTCTTCTTTCCTAGAAAGCAACTGTCACCATGGATTATATATATTATTTGTGTACATTTTATATGTATCCATAAATAAGATAGAATTTTAAAATTTCACATAAATGTGAAGTTTCATAGCATACATACCATTCTGACAGTTGCTCTTTATATGTATTATGAATCCATGTTGATACACAGACATGTGTTAGTTGCTCAGTCATGTCTGACTCTTTGCTACACTTTGTGCACGGACTTAGCCTGCCAGGCTACTCTGTTCATAGAATTCTCCAGGCAAGAATACTGGAGTGGGTAGCCATTCACTTCTCCAGGGGCTCTTCCCGACCCAGGGATTGAACCTGAGTCTCCTGCATTGCAGGCAAATTCTTTACCATCTGAGTCACCAAGTTAATTCACAATCTGTTACCATAATTATGGGCATTTGGATTATTTCCAATTTTTTAAAATTATTTTAATTGGAGGCTAATTACAATATTGTAGTGGTTACACGCACTGCTGCAGTAATTATTCTTATATATGGTTCTCTTTACACATAGGAATTTTCCCTAGGGTTCAGTTCAGTTCAGTCGCTCAGCCGTGTCCAACTCTTTGCGACCCCATGAACTGCATCACGTCAGGCCTCCCTGTCTATCACCAATTCCCAGAGTCCACCCAAACACATGTCCATTGGGTCAGTGATGCCATCCAACCATCTCATCCTCTGTCATCCCCTTCTCCTCCTGCCCTAGGGTACACAACTAAAAATTCTGAAACAGTGTTTGTCATATCACACTGTTACATAAAACATTTTAATAATTTATAGGATAAAGTCCAGCCTCCTCCAGTTGACTTTCAAAGCCCTCCAAAAATTTCAAACATGTTTCTTAATCCTTTACTCATATATCCTTCTACTTTTAGCCAGTACCCTGTTTCATGAACATATTTACTTCTTAAACCTAGAAGGCCTTTCTGTCTCCATATGAATTCACCTTATTTAAAAGTTCTACTAAAATTCTTCCTTCCCTATAACCCTCTTTCAAGCTTCTTCAGCCCTCGGGAAACCATTACCTTATAATTGCTACCAATGAAAAACCTTACAAAACAGACCAAAAACAACAAATAGAGCTGTATTTGATTTTTTAAATCAGAACTGATAAGTGGAGACTGCCAAGAGAAAGGACCCTATGGATTTTTAAAAGCAAGAAGTTAGGCCCAGAGTATATTCTCAACATATATTTGTAAATTTTGTTAACAGTAATTGATTTCTATGATTAAAATTATTGGCAAATGAGTTTACATGTCATTTTTTTTCCTACTGAAGAGACGATTACCACGACAATTCAAGATTTATTTCCCAAAGTGATGAAGAAAATGAGGGCTCCCATAACTTTGGGTTGCTGCTTGGTTTTGTTTTTCCTTGGCCTCATCTGTGTGACTCAGGTATACTACAGTATTTTTTCATAGACAAAATATTAGTTGGAATGTACTTTATAATCTAAATGAGGAAGCCACGGTTTAAGAGTATGTTTAGTACAGACTTCAAGATTTTCTGAGTTTTAACCCAGATTCTTTTCCCATCATAACACAATTTCAATAGCATGTATAGTTTGGCAGGGGGAGCCCAATAGTGGACAATTTCCCCAATTACAATAGTTACAGACTTTGAACATAGGCTGTATTTCTTGGCAGCTACAAAAGAGCACACTACCTTTCAATTTCATAATTAACTATTCTAAATGCTTATTTTTTTTAATAGGGACTCAGTATAGAATAAAAGGTACAGCCTGTTTGAAATATTTAAAGCCCAATTTGTGTTTACATTTGAAACATTCCCCCTTTATACAGAGGTGAAACCAAGGAGCATATGTTAAAATCAAATTAGTAGATTCAATCTGAGTACCTCATCAATCATAAAAGTAATTAAAACTATATTTAAAAGTAACTGACTTTTTTTTTGGTAGGCTGGAATATACTGGGTTAATCTGATTGACCACTTCTGTGCTGGATGGGGCATTTTGATTGCAGCTATACTGGAAATAATAGGAGTCATCTGGATTTATGGTAAATAGTGACTACAGAATTATCTACACATTTTATTACAATGACTTAGTTCTATTCCTTTTCATTATGTTTACTATAATAACTAAGTATAATATACTGGGCAAAAGTTTCTTATGAATAAAATGTAGTTAAAGGCACTATATGCTTCATTGCTATAGTACAGGAAAATGTTTAGACATAGAAGGATAGCTTAGAGCCAGAATGATTAATGAATGAAAGTATGAGTAAGGGCTGAATGCACTCTTTATTGCTGTTTTTAGGAGGGAACAGGTTTATTGACGATATAGAAATGATGATTGGAGCAAAAAGGTGGATATTCTGGCTATGGTGGAGAACTTGCTGGTTTGTTATTACACCTATCCTTTTAATGGTAAGTATTAACATGCTATGAATCTGGTATCAATAATATATATATTTAAACACTTATAAGATAAACTTGACTTATTTACATTAAATACAATAAAGCAAATTAATATCATTTTAAAATCAATGATTTTCAACTTTTCGGCCTCCAAATGGCCAAAATTACAGTGCCTTTCTTTTTTTTTCTTTCATTTATTTTTATTAGTTGGAGGCGAATTATTTTACAATATTGTAGTGGGTTTTGTCATACATTGACATGAATCAGCCATGGAGTTACATATATTCCCCATCCCGATCCCCCCTCCCACCTCCCTCTCCACCCGATTCCTCTGGGTCTTCCCAGTGCACCAGGCCCAAGCACTTGTCTCATGCATCCAGCCTGGGCTGGTGATCTGTTTCACCCTAAATAATATACATGTTTCGATGCTGTTCTCTCAAAACATCCCACCCTAGCCTTCTCCCACAGAGTCCAAAATTCTGTTCTGTACATCTGTGTCTCTTTTTCTGTTTTGCATATAGGGTTATCATTACCATCTTTCTAAATTCCATATATATGCATTAGTATACTGTATTGAAACTAGAACACTTTCTAACAACATACACAGAAATAAACTCAAAATGGATTAAAGATCTAAATGTAAGACCAGAAACTATAAAACTCCTAGAGGAGAACATAGGCAAAACACTCTTTGACATAAATCACAGCAGGATCCTCTATGACCCACCTCCCAGAATATTGGAAATAAAAGCAAACATAAACAAATGGGACCTAATGAAACTTAAAAGCTTTTGCACAACAAAGGAAACTATAAGCAAGGTGAAAAGACAGCCCTCAGAATGGGAGAAAATAATAGCAAATGAAGCAACAGACAAAGGATTAATCTCAAAAATATACAAGCAGCTCCTGCTGCTCAATCCCAGAAAAATAAATGACCCAATCAAAAAATGGGCCAAAGAACTAAACAGACATTTCTCCAAAGAAGACATACAGATGGCTAACAAACACATGAAAAGATGCTCAACATCACTCATTATCAGAGAAATGCAAATCAAAACCACAATGAGGTACCATTACATGCCAGTCAGGATGGCTGCCATCCAAAAGTCTACAGTGCCTTTCTTTGTTGCATTATTTCTGAGGCCATAGGCTTAAACATTTACCGTTTGAGACTTAAAGGTATCCTAAAAAGTATCTAGGACAAGATACTTAAAAATTTTCAATACAATAAATTTTTAAAAATGAGTCATTTGCTCATTCCCTAAAAAATATGCTGAGCCACCTACAATGTTCTTAACCTGTTTAAGACCCAGTCTCTGCCTTCAAGGAATTCAATCTAAATATACTAATTGCTAAGAAACACTCAGTTATTAATTCATATTTTTTATGGGAATTAGTATCTGAAATTACAAAAACTCACGTGTGTCAACAGAGGCAATAGTTTATGTTAAAAATTAGTGTGATTTAGGAGCTGAAAGAAGAATGACATGGCAACCCACTCCAGTATTCTTGCCTAGAGAATCCCATGGACAGAGGAGCCTGGTGGGCTGCTGTCCATGGGGTCGCACAGAGTCAGACACGACTGAAGCGACTTAGCATGCATGCATGCACTGGAGAAGGAAATAGCAACCCACTCCAGTATTCTTGCCTGGAGAATCCCAGGGATAGAGGAGCCTGGTGGGCTGCCATCTATTGGGTCGCTCAGAGTCGGAAACGACTGGAGCGACTTAGCAGCAGCAGCAGCAGCAGGAGCTGAAGGAAAGCAAAAAGTAACTTTAAATAACAGTTCAGGACAGTAAAAGGCTAAATGCCAAGTAAACACTTTATGGGATAGAAAATTACTATGCACTAGAGATAATGGTGGGGGTGGGGCAGGGGGAAACGTTATTGAGGATTAGTTTTGGTTCTCATTGCCTCCATGCTTCAACGATTTTCCTAGGAAAGGGTATTATGTAATTTGATCTACACTTTATTTTAGAGGGTGTTTTTAATATTTGGCTTTGACAGTGCTACTAAATATTGTTTTCCTCATTTGACAAGTTTCCATAATAAAATAAGCCCTTTATCAACTTAGAAGATCTAACTAGACATTTTAGCCAGCTAATTTCATTGATTTCTAGGTTTGACAACTCGATTTACTTTAAAATGCAAAGGTATTAAATGTTAAATGATATACATTATCATCTATTTTGTATAAAGTCATACATATTAGACTCCACTATCCCTCATCCATTCTCTTGTAATTATATGAAATTATGGTAATTGTGAAATAAACTTAGTGTAATGAAATTAAAGGAATTTTTGGTTTTTGTTCATTTTGTTTGCTTTACAGATTTCTATATAATTAGTTTTAATGCTGCAACAGTCTAAACTTGGCCTTAAAATGTTTTTATCTTTAAGATTCACTGTGTTACCCAAACATGTTTTTTTTTTCAATAAGAAAGTGCTTTGGTAACTATGTACCCATGTGTGAATGCCTGTACATTTTGGGTGTGGAGTAAGAGGTACTCTGTGTAGTGGGAAATAAATAGAAACTACTGATAAGCAAGGCGCAAGGCATGTTCACTAAAATGTATTTTATATTCTCATTGAACTAACTGATATGCTGGCTAGCTTACAGGACAGAATGCTAAGTCACTTCAGTCATGTCCAACTTTTTGCAACCCCATGGGCTATAGCCCACCAGGCTCCTCTGTCCATGGAATTCTCCAAGCAAGAATACTGGAGTGGGTTGCCATATTTCCTCCTCCAGATAGCACAGAATAAAATCATGCTATTATAAGTGAAAGTTAAAAGTTTAATAATATAAATTTCAGATACTATTTTACTTTCAACAGATATATTTATGGTGAAGTATTTTACTGAAATATGTGTTGTACAAGTATCTGTATCAATGCTAATTTTTGTAAGACAAATACAAGTTATTTAGATTGATTCATTTAGAATTTGATTTTCTGGCTAGTTACCTGATTATCTCACCTTGAATGTATTTTCATCTTAATTGTTTTTGATAAGTTATTTCTAACAAATGGAATACAACTGCTAATAATTAGTACAACTGAAACCATTAATGCAATAAAGTCTAATCTTTACCATTTTCTTTTCATATTTTACTTTCACAGTCAATCTTGATCTGGTCAGTGATACAGTTTCGTAGACCTAAGTATGGTCAAATTCCATACCCTAACTGGGGAGTTGCTCTAGGCTGGTGTATGATTACTTTCTGCATTATCTGGATTCCAATCATGGCTATCATAAACATAATTCAAGCTAAAGGAAACATCTTCCAAGTAAGCATGTTAATATTATTTATACTTTATAATATACAGTACTTACGATCAAAATGAAGGTTAATATGAGATTTTGAACATGTGATCAAATTAATCACTATTCCCCTCAGGTAACTTTTATACCTGATACAATTTATCTATTACTATGTGCATAACATTGTATTATACTGGATGTATATTTTTGTGTCTCTATGTACTAGACTATAAGCTTAAGAAGGGGTCTTGTCTTGGTTGATATCATATCCTCAAGCCCTATTAAAATGCTTAGCACATAAAAGTTATGGTATCTTGGTGCTAGGGGTAAAGAACCCGCCTGCCAACGCAGGAGACATGAAGCATGGGTTTTATCCCTGGGTCAGGAAGATCCCCTGGAGAAGGAAGCGGCAACCCACTCCAGTATTCTTGCCTGGAGAATCCTATGGATAGAAGAGCCTGGCGGGCTACAGTCCATAGGGTTGCAAAAGAGTTGGACATGACTGAGCAACTGGACTGAACTGAGATGACACAAAGCAACTGACCTTTTTCCTTTATAATTTTCACCTTTAAAACTTCATCTGGTTATAATACATACTATAATAGCACATTGGAAATGGAAAAAAGTCTGGTAAATGACCTTGAACCCAATCTAGACCCTGAGTTATCCCTCTTTCATGGAGGCCTAAGGGAATGGAGTTGATTATGATATCTCAGTAGGACAATGTCTAGGTAGGCTCAGAAGTCAGACTGGATTCAAGATTTAGGTCATTGTTTAGTGGATCTAGATGAATGGCTTTACCCTTTGATTCTTGAAACTTCCCAGTCATACACTGGTTTAGATCCTAACCTAACCCTTACTCTAAAGCCAGGATAGAAATTCAATCAAAGTATGTGAAGTGATACTGTTGCTTGAATGGGTTCACACACTTCCTTTTGAGCTCATTTACATACTCAGTTATTTTGACTTTGTAGTTAATACAGTTCTATTAACAATTGGTTAAATTTGAGTATCTTTTTTTTCTGTAGACAAGAATTTAGATGATCACTTTCTTACTTTTCTATGTACTTATTTCATTTTGGTTAGCAAGAAGACATAACACTCTATAATAAATTTTTTTTTTTTTTTTGCTTCTCAGCGCATTGCAGCCTGCTGCAGACCAGCTGCTAACTGGGGGCCATATCTGGAAAAATATCGTGGGGAAAGATATGGAAACATGTTAGATTCTAAAAAAGAGACTAACCATGAAATACCTAATATTAGTGACAGTAGAAAACCAGAATGAGATCTATGAGCTTTCCAATTTCAACAGGAATGTAATACAAAAATGTGAATCTACTAATGTTTAGCAATGTAATTTATCTGTTAACACATACATAGCTGCCTCTATTTCACAATAAAAATTTTGTATCACTACAATGTTTTCTAATATACTGAAGGCTTTATTTTGAGCTAGTTATTTAGAAAATAGTTATATTTTCTATTATAAAAGTTTTTAAATACTATTTGCTTATATTTCTTAGTACACAATGTTTCTTTTCCATAAAGCTGGGGAAAATAAATATATTTAAAAGAAAGTGGTAAAATTGAAAATTCAAAAGATATAATCAAGGAAAGAAAGGAAAATATTTACAAAATAGCTGGCAATTTTTTTGTTACAGCATGACCAATTCTGCAGGTAATCTATTCCCTTACGGGATGACAGAGCATAGTGCTCTCAGATAGGCAGCAAAAATCTAATTGGTATAATTCTTTTGTTTCCTTAAAAACTAAAGCTTTGATTTGAGCATCTGTATGAAGGAAAATAGAATTATGTTTTTAAATCTTACAGGTCTCTTTTTACATGCTTTGCATTATCATGGTTTTCATATCCTGTTTTGTTGTTGTTTAGTGGCTAAGTCATGTAAAAAAAAAAAAAAGAAATGCCATACATATGTATATATGGAAAAAATGAACTATGTATATGAAGACTATTGCTTAATATCTTTGACTCATGTCTAAAAACTTCATGCCTTCATAGTTCACTATTTTAAAGTGAACTTAGTAGTTATAATCTTTATTTACAAATAGTGAAATAAGACAGAAAACTATGGCCAGTAAGTGATAAATCTAGAAAATGGAATCTAGAAGCTTTGATTATTTCTTTCCCCATAAAATGTGTTCTGTAGGTTATGGGTGGAAGAAAAACATGACTCATCTAATTTCTACTGTGTTTCACAAAATTTAAAGTAGTTCATTATACACCCTGAAGTCTAATTTCAAATAGAACATGGAACAAAATACTAATGAGGAAATGGCTTCAATCAAATCTAAGATCTTATGATTATAATATATAGTTAACAGATAAGTAGAATGATTGTTTTACTTGAATAAGTTACTATTTACAGGTGATAACTTATTTACATACTTATGGGAGATAAACTTGTGAAACTTGTCAAGAATGAGGGCAGCCAAGCTAGAAAGTCCTATGTGCCAATTTCTTTACAAAAGATAATGAAAACATCATATCACTAATAGATTTATACACTGATCATATATCATTTACAACTGGTTTAACATCACAATCTAGGATTACCTAACTATGCAAGAAACTTTTCAGTTATTCTTAAGGTTCTTAACATTGGCTTCAGAGACTGTATGAGGTTGAAATTACATGTAATATTTTTCTACATGTATGTGTATATGCATTTTTTCTACTGCAATAGTCCATATTTTTCATCAGAATATCAAAAGAAATATGTGACTCTGAAATATCTTTAAGAACCATATACACTACCGCTGGCTTTTTGTCCTTGTCAAATGATGAATAAAAGAATAAATTTAAGCACTAATTTCTTATATATTTTAAATTCCTTTTCCTTTTGATTGAAGATTAAATGAGTAAGGGATTAAGGTTTTCCTTTAATTTATACTGGTAACTTATTTGGGGGCAGGGGGTATGAAGTTAGGTAGATAGGTAGGCCTGTAATTGAACAATCTCAGTGAATTATGTGCATATATATGATGAATTTGTGTTAGATATTTTGAGGATTTTCTTTGAGGCTTCCCTGGTAGTTCAGATGGTAAAGCATTTGCCTGCAATGCAGGAGACCTGGGTTCAATCCCTGGGTCAAGAAGATCCCCTGGAGAAGGGAATGGCTACATACCTCAGTATTCTTGCCTGGAGAATTCCATGGACAGAGGAGCCTGGTGGGCTAGAGTCTACAGGGTTGCAAATGACTGAGCAACTAACATACACATAAGATGAGCTTGTGTTAGATATTCTGAGGGTTTTCTTTGAGGGTAGGTCAAATACTGTTAGTGACTGTCAACAGATTACTAGATTTTATAAAATATTTAAAATATTTAAAGTAGATTGCTAAATGCAGCATATAACTACTTTAATTTTAAGCCACATTACATACATTCTACCATTATTATATTTTAGTGCTATTTGAGATGTGGGTTTTTCACCAAATAAAAAAATGCATATAATTTTCTACAGGTGACTTGCAATTCAGGGAAGGTTTAGGCACACTTTTAATGAAATATCTAATTATTAGCAGAAGTGGTGCTGGAAAAGTAGTCTACTTCAATAGCTGACTATGAAGAGTAGTTAAGAGTTTCTGTGACTATCTTTACAAGTATGTAAAGCACAGATCTTAACAGAGTCCCTGGCACATTTTAGGGTGCTCAATGATAGTTTAGTATTATTACACAGATTCAATAGTGTTAGACTATTCTGCATAATGGAAAAAAGTTCCATCAAATCTCATTAACTTTAATGCAAACTTGGAGACATTTACAGTATTGTAAACCATTAGAAAAAAAACTTTCACAATTGAAGTTAAAATCACTGTATCTCAACTATATTCTCTTTACTGTAGCTAATTAAAAAGAAAACAACTCAAACTGTTTCTTTCTCTATTGGGCTTTCATTCCTTCTCCAGTAAAATATGTTAGCAACATAATTAACTCTCTAAATGTAAGCAAACTGACAAATGTGTGGATTTTGTATCTGAATTGGCACCCCTCCCCTTTTAAATAATAATTCATTTGGTATAAACACATATAATCAAATGAATCCACTCAAAGTCCCTTTAATGATTGCCTCAATTGTTATTACATTTTGTAGGCTTGTCAGTGGATTTCCGGTTAACTAATGCACCATTTAAACCCTTAGTAACTAGGAATTGTTCCAGTTCAGCCAGCTTGTATTCCACAATCCTGAGGTTTACCAATATTCGCTTCTGCATAGCTACTGAGTGTGGGAAATTAATTAAGATATCCCGAGAGAGACTGTTGACCGAAAGACTCTTATCAGTATTGCTCTTAGTTGACTGAGTAGAAAAGGATGATCTTACTAGTGCAAGAGAAGTTGAATTTGATGACATTTCACCAGTGTTTCTCTGTAAGGGAAAGAAATTATACATATGTAGTTTATTGACTTTAGCAATGTCCAAATACCATCAAATAATAACATTCTTAGTCTTGATTTACCAAAATGAACTGATTGACCTCCCCTAAGATTAAAAATCTGTTGAATGAATACATTAATTTGGAAATATGCCCTTCCCAAAGAGTGAGAGAAAAATGAAAGTAGCCTTCTGATGCCAAAATACCATAGCCTTGGCTTACATTTCTTGGGCATTCCAGTAGGTCTATACTTGGACCCTGTTTGATACTTATCTAAAAGCACTTCACTTGGAACTTTAAACATCACCAGGAAACCCACATTTTGACCTTAATTATCTGTGATGTCCCCTCCCCCACCCAAAGCTGTCATAAAGATGACTGAAAACGAAAATACAAGGGAGGAAGAGGCAAACAGAATCACATGGGGGTAGTAAAAGCCAGAGAGGAAGAGGGTAGGTACAGTTTCTTAAAATGGGAGAGGGCAGACGGACACTTGCTGCTGTACTTTTTGAGTAGATGAAAACTGACCCCATTACCTAGTGACTTGGGGCTTTTCACAACACAGTACAGCTGTGGAACTACTGGTCAACATGGGAGAAGTGTGAGGTAAAGTCAACACCTGAGAGCTTTCAAAGGAAAAAGGAATGGGGTGACCCCCGCCTTACTCTTACTTTGCTATCTATCTACTCTCTTAAACACACCTCCCTCCCCAAGCCATGTATTTGTCGAACTTCATCTAATTCCAACCGCTCTTACACACTTTACCTGAAACAAGGTTTTCCAGAAGTAAAACATGAAGGCGAACAGAATGCTGCTCACTAGTAGAAACAGGACACCCATGGCGCCTCTTCAAACCTCTTCCCTCTTCTCGGGCACTGAGTCACTCAGCTGGCAGTTGGGAAGCAGGGGGCCGCTAGCCGCCCGGGAAGCCGAGGGCCACAATGCTCAGCGTCCCTCACTGCCTGGTGCAAGTGGGACAGTAGGCAGCGTCCAGCTTTATATACCTGAGAGAGCGTGTGACCTCACAATTGAGCACGCTCAGGGGGCAGTACGTCATAATCTGATGACGTAACACAGGCTTGAGGGGAAACCAGGCGGCACATACCGCACACCTGATCACAGTTACGATAGTTAGAGATGGTGGGAAAGTTTGGGATTTTCGGGAAACTGAAACGCGGTAGAAGTAAAGACGCCAAATTAACTGGCTAAATGCTAGATTTTAGAAGTGCTTCCCCCCCCCCCACCTTTTTTCTGTTAAGATTTTTTTCTCTGCTGCAACCACTTCATTATTCGTTTCAAAAACAAGTTCAAAAGCAGGTAGAAATACACTGTAAAAGTAGTTACCTACATAATGTGAGTCGTGGCCAAATACCTCCTTTCCATCCCCGCTGCTATTTTAGGATTCACTCCAACCATATTCACATCGGGATAATGTACGTTTGTGCCACTGTACAGTTTAAAAAGTAATTCCAGGTCCATTTCTCCATATAGTTCTCACAATAATTTTGTTCTATAGGTATCTTTAATGGTGTGTCTGCTTCGGGAAATGCAGAAACAGATTCAGATGTTAAGTAAACTCATTTGAAACTAGTAGCAAAAGCACAGCTTGAATCCACAGAGTTTGAGTTCTGAGATAAACTCCCATTCCCTCATCCTCATCCCCACCTCAGGACCTCTACCTAGAGTTGTGAGCCTCAAATAGTTACTATTCTCCACCCAAGGAATGGAACAGTATATTTGGATTAGTTCATGAGAAGGGACAGATAGAGGAATCATTGTACAAGTTAGAAGTGTTCAAGAAATTCAGGTAAATGTACAAGATGACACTGAACTAAAAGTCAGTACTAAAGCAATAGCCAGGATAATCTCAAGATAAGTGTCAAACTGTAA